GCTTTTCTAACTCAAATTATCCTGTTTCTCTTTAACTGTATTTTTGCCTCTGGGCTTTTTGCCTCTCATTAGTCTATATATCTTTATTTCCTTCTTACTTCATGGCTGGCTGTGTGGCTGTGTGGTTGGCCGCTGGCATCCTCCTCTCCTCCTTTTCTTGCTCTTCTCTTAAGCCTAGATTTCTCCTCCTATTTATTCTCTCTGCCTGGCAGCCCTGCCTCTCCCTCTCCTGCCTAGCTATTGGCCATTGAGCTCTTCATTAGATCATCAGGTGTTTTAGGCAGGCAAAGTAACACAGCTTTACAAAGTTAAACAAATGCAACATAAAAGAATGCAAGGCATCTTTGCATCATTAAAACAAATGTTCCACAGCATAAACGAATGTAGCACATCTCAAACTAATTCCACAACACTAGCCAACTAACTAGCTAACTAAATTTGGAGTAGAATACTTGGCCTCAACCTCTGGTTCACCTATTATAAGGAATGTGCCTTTAGGAATGGAATCCTCTGTTTAGACCATTGTTAAATTTGGGATAATATCACCAAGCATTTCATAAGGTAGTTGCAAAGTCCAAGCTCCAAAGCCAAGAAAGAAGATGCAGGAATCGTAAGCAAATGAGGTACACTTTATGCACTAGGGGGAAAGGCTACTCTAGATGCCAATAGGCATACAGGCAGGCACAAGGCAGTGGGCTGCACACAGGTGGGTAAAGTCACCAGTGAAGCCTTGCACATACATGACAAGTAGATACACACAGGCAAAGGCAGAGGCAAAGGCAAAGTCACTTGTTTTGGACCTCAAGGGCATGTTTCCAAAATCTCATGAAGTAACATTCTGCCAGAAATGCTTATTTAATAGGTTACATGACAATTTGCTTCAGGTTCCCTGGGTGTCCAGTGTCAGCCATGTTTTTACTGATTCGTACTGGGTATCTATAACAATGTCATAGTCTCAGCTTCAACAGGCCCCTGTGACCTTCTGTTCTCTACAGTTATACCCTTGTTATTTTTCACATTACTGTAACACAGGACCTGACAAAGGCCACATTAGGAAGGGTATATTTATTTTATCTCAGTCCATCACTGTAGGGAAGGTGTGGCAGTAGGAGGGGAGACTTCTTGTCGCTTTGCCTTCACAATCAGGAGGCAGAGCCACCCACGGTGGTACTCCACTTGCTCCTCCTCCTTAGTCTAGAATTTCAGCCCATAGAATGGGGTCGCCCTTGTGTAGGATGGGTCTTTGCACTTCCAATGAGGACTCGTCCAGAGGCCTGTCTTGTAGGGGATTCTAGATCCTGTCTAGCTGACAGTAATAACCACAGCAGGTTATTTAAAGATAAAACTATTAGAACATTGGTTACATAATATCCTGTGTAAGTCTTACTATGAGAATAAGGTAACCAGAGAGCTTGGTCCTTAGTAGCTGACTATAAATAGGGACCTGCTGTTGTCTGAGGTGAGAAGTTACCTACAGGTTCACGTGTCTAAACACTTGGTCTCTACATGACGGTGTTATTTGGGAAGTGCATGGACCATTAGGAGGGAGAGCCTTGCTAGGGGAAGTATGTCACTAGGGAGAGATCATGAAGTTTTCTGGCTGTGCCTCTCTTCCTGCTCCCTGACTGTGGATCAAATGAGACTACCATCCCCCCATTTGGGCCTCAATGTCTCCTGTGCTGTGACGGATGGGAGCCTCTTGAGTTAGAAGACAGAGTAAAGCTTTCCTCCCTTACCTTGCTTCTAATCAGGTATTTCATCAAAGCAATGAGAAAGCAACTGATAGAAGACCCATGATGTAACATGCAGAAGCAATATGGGAAGAAAGGTGCAAATCACCTATAGAGCCCACAAGAGTGTGAAGAAAATGCACACTCTATCTATTAATATCAAAATGTTAATGATAGACAAAGTGGCTGGGACCTTAAAAGATTAGTATGGCAAATCTAGCAATAGGTACAGAACAAATTAAAGGTCTCCCTGGAAGTGGTTATTAGACACCACTAGAGCCACGGTAACGTTGAGGCTCTCAGACATGTATTTTCTCAACACTGCACAGCACACAGAATTCCCACTGGCTTCACAATTATGGTTATACTTCCAGCGGAGCCCTAACCCAGGATGCAGAGGGGATGGCAGTGGTCAGGACCAACCAAGCCCCTGGGGTTTCAATTTGCACATGGCTTTGGGGCATCTTTTTAAAATGATGCTCTGCTCACAATTTTTCAAAAAACCAAAAACCAAAAAAAAAAAAAAAAAAAAAAACAACAAAAAACCCCAAATGAAACAACAAAGAAATGAATTAGCACCGACTAGAATTTTCAATCCTGTTCTACAGACACAAGGAAATCTAACTCAGAAACTGCAGTAAGCTGCTGGGTAGATGGCATTTAAATCACTGTTGTCTCCACTGACAGAGACGACTCCTGCCCTCCGCCACCTGAGTAAATAAATATTTATAAGGCTCTCTACTAAGTCTGCAGGACACCACACTGCTCCCATAGACGACAATTTCAGGCTAGAGTGAAATAGGCCGGTTAAAAAAAAACCGAAACAACAAAAAACCCCACTGCCTTCCATCAGTTGTTCATTCTCTTCTCTAATACAGGGAAGAGTACCATTTCCAATTTCTACTGCTGGGTGGAAAGTCATCCTGAAATTGAAGCCACTTCCCAGGCTAAGTGGTTAGAAGAAAGTTAATCTGTCAGGACTGAGACAGTAAGTTGGACAAGCATAGTTCCCTTGAGCCACCAGGGGAAGCCAGGACAGTTTTTTATTCCTTCAGCTGCAGTTTTTCTATCAGACGTATAGTAAGAAGAAAAAAAAAATCATTAGCAGATAGGTTTATTTTTTAACTTATATTTTATAATAAAATTTCATAGCCACCCCCAATATTTTGGAGAGCATTACTGGCTTGGGACTTGTGAAAAGGAGAAATGTCCATTGATTGTTGCTTTGGGTTTGTTAAGCAGTAAAATGGGAAACATGGTCTGGTAGGAAGAGAAAAAGTTCGCAGGGCTCCTCCTACCAATGAATAGCTGTATATTCCTTCAGTTGTATGTATGACTAGAACAAGCAACCTCCATACTGGTCCAGTTAACATGTCTAGATGTGTACTCTGCAGCTGAAAGTAAACGCTTTCCAAACACACATTCAGGCTGCTGATTGCACATTTTCCTATGTCGTCTTTGACCATTTGTATTTAAATAACAGCAAAGAATGACTTGAAAATCTGTTACGTGTGACAAAAGTCTGTACAAAATTTAGTCAACACTTCAGCATAGATGGGAGTGGGCCAGGAGGCCTCACTTCTCCTGCAGAGACTACTGGCAGTTAATGTCAGCTGGGGGCGGGGGTTGGTGGGTAGGGGGAAGGGAGTGTCATTTTCTTCTGTGGTGTCCTCACTGATATGGTGCCCATGCTCTAGTAAATAACCCCCTACTCAAGATCGTATGAGCAACTCTAATTACCTCATGGGTCACATGCGGGGCAGCTACCCACCAACCCCACAGTTCCCCAGAGTTTTCTTGAGTGCAAGCAGCAGGAAATATTAGATAGAAGGATTTAGATTGTGGAGATAAACAGAGAGAAAATATAGGATATAAACTTGTTCCAATGGACCCTGACTGTCTCTGCCCCAGGGTATTTATAGAGACGCCAAGAGGTGGAGCGAAAGACCACCCCCACCCCCCAGCACAGCCAAATGTAGACCGTCTCAGACACCTGCACTCAGGCGCATGGTCCAATCATCCTGTCCATGCAGACCTGCTGGGTAAAGCCACTAGGAACCTGAAAACGGGCTCCCACAGTCACACACAAAACAGAATATGGAAAGAGAAGGAGGATTTGTTGCAAAGATGGGGTGGTGAAGGAGAGGCACGGGGATGGAAAACAGCCAAAATCCAGTATATACACACATGTATGAAACCATCAAAAGATTTTAAAACAAAAACAAGCAAATCCATGTTCACTTTAGAAGCTGTTTTGATTTCTACCTCAGTATTTGGAGAAGAAGAATACCAAGAACGGTACAGAAGAGGAAAAGTTGCTTTTGGTATTTATTTTCACAATTACTTCCTGCAGTTCTTGCCTACTCAACAACTTTTGGAAAATACAGGCATTTACCGGCATTGCACAGAACCTCTGCCTCCTCACAGCAGCCCTGCTCTCATATGTCCTTGTAGCATCAAAGCTTATACTTTTCCATCTCCTGGGCTCCCCTTTTTTATTCTGTCTTCTCTTCACTCACAGCTCTAGCTGTATCTTTAGCAGGCTGGATAATTTTCACAACAATGCAAGCATTTACTGCTCTCTGTGTGTCTGTTACTGTGAATTGAAGTACAGGCTCTGAGAGCGTCCTACCATTGAGTGATAGCCTCACCACTTTCCTGATTTCTCATTTTGAGACAGGGTTTCACTAAGGTGTCCAGCATGCTTTCAAATTCACTCGGTGGTGCAGGTGGGTCTTGAATTTGCAATCCTCCAGCCTCAGGCCTGATTGTCAGGAATTATAGGCTTGCTTTGCTGGGTCAGGCTCTGAGCTTCGATTCATCACAAACTATAGATAAGCAAAAATTAAAAAATGCAAATATTGACCATAGTAGACAAGTAATTAAGATTGTGCTGCAAAACCAGCTTCAAATCTGAAGATTTTAGTAATTAATGACTTGAGTACATGCAAGCCCATGTACTACTACCACAAATTACAAAACTCAAGATTCAAACAGACTTTTTTTTTTAAATGCTTGTGTTCAAACCCAGTGCCTTGGAGGCATTACACAAGTATATTACCACTAGGCAACAACCCTGCACCGAATCAAAATTTTAATTCTTTCATCAGGTAAAGTTAGAAACACCCGTAATCCAAGAACTCTATAGTTGAAGAACTCAAGACTGTAATTTTGAGTCTTTCTTGAGATATAATGAAACTGCAGCTCAAAAAAAAAAAAAGACAAGAAAAAGAAAAAGGAAAGGAAAAAAACAATCTTCCACATACATGATACAGGCTAAAATTTCTATTTGTGTCAAAGAAATTCATCAAAACATTAAAAACACATAATACACAAACAGAATACATTTTAATTCATTATTACACTGATTTCCATTGGAATACCTGGAATACCTGTGTGACATTCGCCCTTCTAGAACTGGTTAAGATAGCAATCATTACTATTTACATCTATCCTCATCTCTTCAAGGTCACAACTTAGGAATGACTATTAAAAACAATCATTTATTCACAGATTTTCCACAAGTACAGAAGGAAACTGAAACTAAAATCTATACATTTTGACGTTTGTATTTTACTTTGCTTTTTAACATTAAGGGTATTGGCGTCCACAGGTACTAAAAAGCATATTTGGAACAAAAATGAGCTTCAGTTGATCATATTTCATAATAATCAAAGTATATTAATATAGTTATATAGCTCCAACGTACCATGTATTGTCAATGTCCTGTATAGGCTTTGGTTTGATCTAAGGTTCTGATTCTAAGAAGCTTTCATTAACTCGGCAATAGTACTCATTAGTGAAATCAATTCTCTGAGAAAGTTATATTTAGGTTAAAAAATTTTTAAGTGCTATATCTAAAATTTGAATTAACAGCATTTAATAGCTAAGTTAATTCTTCCTATTTTCCTTCCTTTTAACCTATTCACCGTGTGTGTGTGTGTGTGTGTGTGTGTGTGTGTGTGTGTGTGTGTGTGTGTGTAGGCCAAGAGGTGGAAGTCAGGTGTCTTCTTCAGTCACTCGTCTCTGTCTTGCGGAAACATGCATGCAGGTGCCTGAGGATCCAGAAGATGGTGCTGGATGCTGTGGAGCTGTAAGTGGTTGGGAGCTGCCTGAGGAGGATCATGGGAACCAAACTCTGGTCCTTTCCAAGAATGGAAAGTGCTCTTTATCACTGGGCCATCTCCAGCCTTCCGCCTTGTGTTTTGAGACAAGGTCTCTCAGTGAGTTTACTGATTCATTAGACTGACTGGACAAACCCCCAGGACACTCATGCCTCTGCCTCTTTAAACCAGGGACTCGATATTTATGTCTCTGAACGCAGTTTCTTAAATGGATGCAGAGGGTCTGAACGGAAGTCTGCATGCTTACATAGCAAACACCTTAATGTCTGAGCCATTTTTCTAGCCCCCCATTTCACAGATGCTTTGGGTAATCGCTTCTGTTTCCTATTCCAGGGAAAACCTAGTTCTTAGTTGCATACTACAAACTGTTACGATTATTATGTTCAACATTTATTGTGCCTAAAGTCTCTTCAAGTTCAAACAGACTAGCAAAGGGGCAAAATACATACATTTGTATAGTTAAAACAACTGCAGAACAGCCAAGTAAAATATATGTGTCTATATGGTAAAACTGGGAAATACTGCAATTACTTTCTCTAGGGTCTTAGCAATTCAATTCTAAAGTATACTAATTAAGGGTGCTTAGGATGTGATGAATTTAGGTCAAAGCCAAGATATCATATTTCAGTGTAATGAATACTGATGGTAATTATTATATATTCTTTGCCAAAAGAAATATATAATATATCCCTCATCACAAAATTAAAGCCAATGCTTTATTTAATATGTAAATATACTTGAGATTTAGTTTCTGACCTTCATAAAATGTTAATGTCCAGTGGAAAATTGTGTGGTGATATTTTATCTGTGTCCCACAATAAAGTTTATCTGAGGATCAGAAGAAAAAGCCAGGCACTATAGTAAACATAGAAGTCAGGCAGTGGAAGCCCACACCTTTAATCCTATCACTCAGGAGGCACAGATTCCCTCTGGATCTCTATGAGTTCAAGGCCACACTGGGAACAGAGCCAGACATGGTGGCACACACCTTAACGCCAACACTAGTTAACCATAAAGGTCTGGAGGTCTGTACAGACAGGCAGGAAGTGACAGAGCTGGGCAGGAAGAGGAAGTGATGTAGATGGGTAGAGAGGAAGTGAGATGGCAGAACAGAAAGGCACATAGGAATATATACATTGTATATATACATATATACATATATACAATGTATACAGGAAGTAGGTCTCTTTGGCAGAGAATCTCCAAGCAGGTAAGAACATGGCTAGCTTCTTTCTGCTTTTCTGATCTTTCAGCTTTTCACCCCAATATCTGGCTCTGGGGTTTTTATAGATAAAATATATATTTTATATATATTATAATATAGATATTATTTTATAATAAGACCTTTTAAGATTCACGTTACAATATTGGAGAAACTTCACTTGACTTAATAACAGCTTTAAGTGTAAGCAAAACAGACAGATGCAGCAGTTAGCTTTGGATTTAACAGTGAGGTCCCAGAGACAATGGTGTGCATGTGTTCTTTAGTTCTCTACCCCTGACTGTTGCAGTCTGAGCTCAGTGATGGGTAAGTTGGGAAAAGAAAATCATTCTCAACACTAGTCAGATTAAACTCGAAGTGACACTCTACAGTACCACCACTAGCCCAGGAGGCCAGGAGAAGGGTAGTGAGACGACCAGATATAGGCTGAAGCCCAACATTCATTAACGTTATTTTGACGCATTTCTCCAACACTGAATCTAGTCTTTACAAGAGATGGATTCATGTTCATCCCACTTCTGGAGCACACTTCATTCCAACAGGATCTATCTTGGTAGAAATATAGTTAGTCTCATGAGATAAAATTGTGAAGCACAACAAAAATGTTCACAGGCTGACTCCAAATTTAAGAAAATCTAAGCCATCATTCTAATTTATAAAACTATGAATTTTGTAGTTAATAATGGAAAGAACACTTAAAATATTTTCGAGGTCCCCAAATTTTATAAGATTTAAAGATCAATAAATATATCTAATCTTACTTGAGAAATAAGTAGCATTACAATTAAATAATACTCCAACAGATGCTAGTAGTTTTCATTAGAGATTGGGGTTCATTCTAACCCAGTGTTTGATTAACTGATGTGCAATAGCTCGGCTTGGTGGTACAAAGAATGCTTGCTGCGTCCCTTTGGTAAGAACATCCATAACCTAAAACACAACCAGAAGACAACACATCAGTGGAGCAGCTAATGTTGCATTTCCAGTTGATTTGGTGAATCAGTGTTTCGGTTTTTAAATGTTCCAGGAAGGCATATCAAAACAAGGCCATGAATAGAAGCAAAATATATCTTCTGTATTTAACTTCAAGGACAAGTTAACTTTTTGGTATAGATTCCTTTTCCACAGTTCCTACAAAATACTACATTGTGTCCTTTTTTTTCTATACAAAATTTGGGCTTTGTAAAACAAAGCAAAAGAACAACGAAAACAATAAGAAACCCCAAACCAGTCCATTAATTTATCTCCTTTACTTAGGGATGTAATTTTAAAAAGTTCTCATGAATATATAGTATGACATATTTATGCATTTAATAATATCTATGTCTTTCTTGCCCTTCAGTATATTTCTTTCTTCCTTTTCTTTCTACTTATTTTCATATATATAAAGATGGAGTCTCACTATACAGTCCAGGCTGGCCTGGGACTCATTATATATTGTACTCAGACTCTTGGCTATTCATACGCTTCGGCATCATCTTTATACATACATAAGAACTTCAAAAACTTCAAGCATTTTTACTGATTTTTGAGAGCTATTTGCTTTAACGTAAATATCTGAGATTAACATGTGTTATGTCCGAACTAATATAAATACTTTGAGTTCACTAACAGAGATTATCCTTCATTCACCAGCCAGTATAAAATGTGAAAATTGGAATGGCACAGATTCGTCATTCTAGGAGAATCTCTCAGAATGAGTCAAACAGGACACATCAGCAACACACATTTTTTATATGGAATTATCAATTACATTATAATCCATTCATAACGAGAGGGCTGCAGTCACTCATTCAACTTGCTGGAATATGCTTCCTTGCTGCATGCCCAAACCAATACTATCAGGGAACAATCAATATAATAAGGAAACGAGATTGAACTTTACCTGTTCTCTGGTGAACCATCGGGCATCCTCTATTTCATTCTTGTCAACTTTAATTTCTGTAGACACTGCCACAGCTAAACAACCAATCATTAAGGAGGAGGGCATTGGCCATGGCTGACAAGAGACATACTGAACATGGCCAACTTTGACTCCGCTTTCCTCCTCCACTTCTCTCCGCACGGCATCTTCTATTGTCTCCCCTAATCAGAAGAGGCAAAAGAACAGCAGCAGCTCAACATGACTTGGACACTGGGAGCTCCAAACAGGGGAGACATTTGGAAACCGCTCTGGAGAGAGCCCCCATTCAATGAATGCTAATTCTAGACTGGAAGTGAAAAAAGCCTTACATTTGGAAGTCTGTGGCCACAAATAGAATAGCAAAATGCCAACAATCAACTTCCGTTTCTTAAAAGCCCCAATTTGGCAGTTCTGTAAAAATAAATAATTAGAAAATCTGCAACTATCTATCACATACTCCTGACTAAACATTATTAAAAATGTTATTACCTCATGCATCACTATTCATAAGCTATTATTTCATGAGTTTTATAAATGGTTAGTTTTGCCCTCCATTAAAAATCATCTTTTATTTTATTCTGAGATGGGGTCTTATGAAGCTCATGTTGGCTTTGAACTTGCTATGTAGCTGAGGTTATCCTTCATCCATAGAGTCTAGTGCCTCCACTTCATAGGAGTTGGGGTTGCAGACAAGCATGTACTATGACACCCAGCTTCCATCAAAACCTTGAAATTCAAATCACAATGAATTCTTTCTAAATATTGTTTTACTTGTGAATAAATGTTCTGGGTTTGTTGGAGCTTCAAATAATAAAAAGATATTAAGTAAAATTAATTTGGATGTTTAGAAGTTTTAAAATTTATAAGTATTTAATGAAACATATTTTTAAATACAGCTTTTTTTTTTTTCCCCAAGATAGGGTTTCTCTGTGCAGTTTTGTTGACTGTCCTGGATCTTTCTCTGTAGACCAGGCTGGCCTTGAACTCACAGAGATCTGCCTGCCTCTGCCTCCTGAGTGCTGGGATTAAAGGCGTGTGCCACTGCCACCTGGCTTAAATACAGCTTTTATTTCAAATAAGTTGATGCATTCTCTATATATAAGTTCTTGTATTTGTTACACAAAATACACAGTTAAAATAAGCCATAGACTAGTTGAAAAGATTTACCAGACCATAATAACAATAAATGCCTAAAATCAATTTTAACTAAGGCTGAGAAACGGAAACAAAACACAAAGAACACAACTATCTACAAAGAAAAGAAAAGGAATACTGGACGTGTAATACACATTTGACAATGATGTTCCATCAGCAGAGCAATGGGAACACACACGCAGGAATGACCCACTACTTCTTACCTCTCTGAAGGACAATCTATAATTTGAAACCCCAGGCTGGGCCTGGTGGCACTTGCCTATAATCCCAGGATGTGGTAAGCCCAGGCAAGAGGATAAATTGGAAGCTTATCTGAGCTATAGAGCAAACACTCTTTCAAAGTGTGAAAATTCCAAATTGTGAAAAGTCCAAGGTGGTAAAGATATGGACTAATGTAACATTCAAGTATTGTTGGTGGGGGTGTTATCAGGAAAACTTAGAGGCACTTGGCAACATTTCGTAAAGTCTAATATGCTAATATATGCAGTGGCAATTCTACTCTCTATATACACCTGAAATAGCTCTTGCAAGTGTACATAAAGAGAGGAACAAAAATGCTACATACAGTAATGTTTTAAATAGTCAAAATCCTGAAATAAATTAAATATCCACAGAACAGATGAATATACACCAGAAAATTAATGTGTGAAATACTACTTAGTAGTTTAAAATGGCTTACACTTTAAAAAAATATTCATTTTTTTCCATATATTATGTTTTGATTATATTCTTTCTTCTCCCCCATTCTTCCCAGATCCTCATCATCTACTTACCCACCTAATTTCATGTCCTCCCTCTCTTGAAAAAGCAAAAAATCAAAACAAAAACAAAAAATAAAAACAGACGAACTAAGGAGGGGGAAGAAGAAAAGGAGGAGGAGGAGGAGAAAAGAAATACTAAAACAAAACAAAAACACATGGAGTCAATTTTATGTTGGCCAATTATTTCTGGGAATGCGACCTGTCCTAGATTGTGGTTGATAGTCTCAGTGACACTCCATTGGTGAAAGCTGATTTTCCCTTTCACAGAAGGTATCTACTGCAAATAACTTTTTTGTCAGAGGTGGTAACATCTAACATTTGTGTCCACATCCCCTTCTCAGCGCAACATGGTGATTAGGAGCAAGGACTCAGAAGTGGAATTGCCTGGTTTGAATCCCTTCTCTGTCACTGTGATTTGGGACAAATTACACAGTCCTTGTGTCATAGTGCCCTCACCTGTGAAAGCCTTGTGAAAGTGCCCACTTTATAAGGCTGTAAAAGGATCACAAGATGCAATAAGGGCAAGCTTCCAGCTGAGTGCCAGGTAATACATGCTTACTATTATAATTACCTAGCAGTGCAAACTAACACTGTATGTTGAGATTAAACTTTACTAATCCAGATATCCATTCACTTACTCTGGGATACCTAATAAAATCCTATTACATGTGAGGCATTGGTTCTGACTGTTTGATGTGTAAAAATGGATGAAAGAGAACACTTTATCTCACAGAACTGATGTGCTACTAAAGTCGATAATCTATACATTATATATGTATTATAAGGTGGTGTTGATCACTGTAGGGAAAAGTCAGGTAGGATGCCTAGGATTGTGACTGCAGGTATGGGGGTTAAGGACGATGATATAACCCTTAGAAAGGGTGGCACTTACATCTAGCACTGAAGAGAGGTGTAAGCCACCTGGATTGCTGGTCAAAAAGTAATGTATGACAAAGCATATATGAAATTTTTTAAAAAAACAAATACCTTACTTGTAAAAATTTGAAAAGATACAATGTTTAAATTTTGTGATTAAAATATTATTTAAAACATTTTGGGGTTGGCCAGATGATTCAGCAGGCAAAGGCATTTGCCACCGAGCTGGATGACTTAAACATACATGGGCCACACATGGTTAAGAAAGAGAAAACTGACAGAGTTGCTGTCTGTCTTTAACAGTGCACACCCTCATATATGCATACATATGTGTATGCACTAAAGACAATGTAGTAAAACATTTAAATGTCTCCATTTTATAGCATCATATTTATTGGAGACTGTATCTCATATGTGATCTGATTCAAAATTCTAAAAATTATTCAGAAAAGGCTTACCAGGTTCAATAAATCCAGCGAGACAAGTAAACATGCCTGGGGGAAATCGTTTTTGCCTGCCTAAAAGACATTTGGTTCCATCTGGATGGATAACCTGCATGATTACTACTGGATCTGTTGAAAAAAACAAAAACAAAAACAAAAAACCAGACACACAAGTAACAGGAAATATAATTAGACTCATTATGCAATAATAATATTCAGGTTTATCTCTTACAAGAAGACAATTCCTGTTTACATATGACACCTCCTTTCTGCTCTAATGTGCTTGACAAATATCTGAGAAATTGCATAGAATACTTTCAGTAAGTGGAAGGAAGATGGGTTTTGCCATCCTTACTTCCAATCTGAGCAACATTTACTCTGTACTTGGGTACAGTAGGCACACTGAAAAATTCAAATTTTACTAAAAAAAAAAAAGTACAGTAAATTGCTTTCGTCCTTTCATACCAATGCTCAATAAAATGCTTTTAAAAGTGAGCATGGCTCCTTAGTTAGCTTTGAATCACTAAAATAACGACACTTAGGTAACAGTTAATCTTTCTAGCAGTCACTAACTTAAAACACCCTCCTCGCTAGATCCTGAGGAGAGCCAGGAACTAAGTTCCTTAGCAAGGAAACAGACAGCCATTAAGTCGCCACTTCCTCCCTGAGACTCCATCAGGGACTGCCAAGTCAATCTACTTCCCTTGTAATTTTAAGGGCCAGATTATGGAATTTCTCCAGCTCGAGCAGAAACACAGCAGCAACTAGGAGGAGAGGTATAACCACAAGACTGGGTAATGGCTCCAACATCAACAGAGCACTGGAGACTTGATTATTCCTGCATCAAGAGGAGTCACGCTGACTAGCTTTGAAATGAAGCATCCCAACACAGCAAATTCATGAACTGATTAAACTAAAGGTAAGACACGACTCATTGTGAACAATGCAGTCTTTTTACTGAATAACCATGACATACATTCAATAAAAATGTAAACATTTCAGTTCCTTGAAAACTTTCTTTCCAGACTATCTTCTGACCCAAGATTCCAGGTAGCTGAGATTTCATTATCAAAAAACAAACACCCCCACCCCCCAAAAAAAACAAAACAAAACATAAAAAGGCTTGGGGTTGCAGAGGCAGCTCAACATTTAAGTGTGCTTGCTGCTCTTAGAACCAGAGTTCATAGCCTGCCACCCACACTGGGTAGTTCTCAGTGAACTATGACTTCAGCTCAATAGGATGACACTCTCTTCTGGTCTACAGGGCACCTGCACACACATGGTCATACCTATATGCATGTACACACACACACACACACTTTAAAAAAAGAAAAGCCTTACCAACTCTTGGATAAGATGTATTGTGGACGCCATGGAGACTAGGGCAGTTTTCTCTTAAACACACTCTTTTATAGCCACCTTCTTCAATTTTGGTGGCGCTGCCACAGGTTGGGCAGAACTTGTATCGACTATGCCATGCAAGAACAGATCTCGCTTGAGCTACGACCCCTTTTCAAAAGAAGTATGAGAAGTCTTAGTTCCATGCAGACTGGAATAACACGTAGGTACCATGCTCTGAAGCTACAGTGAGCACATACATTGTTTTCTGAATAGCTGCTTGACCAATGGCTTTCGTATTTATTTTTATGGTGTATCATTATTAACTTTTATATTTTGTTTTTAAACACTTTATTGTAATAATCTCACAAATACAATGATCACATAGCTAGCTTATGGCAGCCATTCAAAAAAGCTACTTTTACTTTCAACTTAATTTTCAATATAACAAGTGAAAATCTATGTTCATCACCACTATTCTAATCTGCTTTCTCTCTTCTAGGCCACTGCAGGAACTAATCCACTCTTAATAAGGCACCTCGTCTCCACTCTACCTATTCATCTAAAATTCATACTTTATGAAGTAGCTAGCATTAACCTTGTTTTTTATAACACACACACAAATACACACATAAACACACACACACACAATGTGGGTGGGCAGAGAGAGGCACTATTCCTGTAGCAGCAATAAATGGGCATTTAGAATAAAACTCTAGTTGTTTTTCTTTTTCCTTTTTTATTTGATATTAAAAAGCCCACCAACAGAAAACAAAACAGCTGAGGTCTTTGGCATCACGTTCAAAGTACTACAGGGGCTCAAAGGTTAAGCAGAATTAAACGAAACCATCACACATGGAGGTTCACTCTAAGGAAACTATCTTGGCTGACTAATGCCGCTGCCAGCACTAGAAGAGTGTCCTGGAGTGCCAGCTTGAGGGAGTTCTCATGTTTACTGCTCACAGGCATGTGCCACCCAGACGCCACACACACACACACACACACACACACACACACACACACACACACACACACACACACACACTCCATAGTCGCTTTAAAGCCGGACCGTTACCAACAGAGAAACATTTCCTTTCCTCACCAGCTTCTTTTTCTTTCAACTGCAAAAGAGCTGGCATCGGAGGGTGAAGAAAATAACAATTTTCATGTCTTTGCTTAAACTCTTCAGCGGCAACAGGTTCTATACCGAGAGCAAACCAAGCAACCAAACCATCCTCGTCCTCCACCGGGACTCCTCCAGCATAATTGTGTGATTCCTTTCGCCGCATCTCAAGTTCCACTCCAAGGAACACCAAGGTGACCGTCTCAGGCTGAGCCAAGTAATCCTTCACATCTGTGTAGTTCAGCTGGCAGAGCTTGACTTCCGGCTGCTGTGAACTCTCTTTATTGCCGCCCAGAGTGACCAAGGGGTTTAAGTCTGAGAAAAGGACATAGACTGTGGCCGGGTGGCTCTCCTTAGCCTGCAGCCAGTCAGAATTATTTCTTTTGTCACTTTTCCGGTCCAGTAGTGTTCTGCTAAAATAATTTTCACATTCGTCTACTTCATTGGTTAGGAACCAAGGCTTCTTCCCACCTTTTGCATTAGCTAACATGTTAGCTATATGCTTATAGCCCCAAAATACAGCGATATCGAGCGCAGTTTGCCTTGATTTATTGACAAGTGATCTGTCACATCTAGACAGAAGAAGAAAAATGGAAAGGAAAATCAAATGAGAAGTAAAGCTTTTCTCTTGTATTTTACTAAAATACATACATAGCCTCACTACTGAATGTGTGTATGCGCTTTTTTTTGCTTCCATCATTTGGTTCATAGCTCACTACTGAAGCTTAAAAGAATCATGTAACAATTGTAAGAAATGAAAGGTTAATGATAGTAGACATCTAAATAAAATGAAAACATGTTTCTATATGCCATAAAGAAATGCAAACATTTATATACTCCATGGTAGCCATAAGGAGACTCACACTTTTTGTTTTGTTTGGTTTTTCGAGACAGGGTTTCTCTGTGTAGCTTTGCGCCTTTCCTGGAACTCACTCTGTAGCCCAGGCTGTCCTCAAGACTCACACTTTTTAGAAGAAAGGCATTAAACTCCCCATGGACATTCTTTTTGACAAAGTATGAAGGGTTAACTTATCAACTAAGGAAGTTATTTCTCAAATGTAGCTCAGAGCTAGAGAGCTTGCCTGATATGCATGAAGACTGTGTTCAATTCCTAACACTGACCAAAAAAAAAAAAAAAGTTGCTTTAGTGAGAAATTAGGCTATCTTTCATATGATAAACTGAGCAATGAGCTATTTACTAGCCAATCAATATAAAACTGTCTACATAAAAATGTGTGTTGTTGGTTGTTTTTTGTCTTTTGGCTCTTTGGGGGGGCCCACCATTCCAAATAAATCACACACACACACACACACACACACACACACACACACACACACACACACGGAGGCTTATTCTTAATTATGAACGCCTGGCCTTAGCTTGGCTTGTTTCTTGTCAGCTTTTCCTAACTTAAATTAGCCCGCCTGCCTTTTGCCTTTCTCTATTTTTGTACCTTTTTGTTTTCTTACTCCGTTGCTGGTTGTGTAGCTGGGTGGCTGGCCCTTGATGTCCTCCTCTTTCTCTAGCTTCTAGATCTCTCCTCTCCAGATTTCTCCTTCTTTATAGTCTCTCTGCCTACCAGCCCTGCCTATCCTTTCTCCTGCCTCTCTATTGGCCATTCAGCTCTTATTAGACCATCAGGTGTTTTAGACACACACAGTAACACAGCTTCACAGAGTTAAACAAATGCAACATGAAGAAAAGTAACACAGCTTAAAATAATATTCCCCAAGAAATTGAAAGGACACAACAGGTCCTTTTAGGTGGTACAGCCCTAAGACGTTTACCCTTTCTCAAGCAGAAGCTGGACAATATCAGGGTGCCCATTCCTTGCAGCATACATTAAGGCAGTCCAGCCATTTTCGGAGGTTGAGTTGAGAAGAGATGGAGAATGACTGAGTATCCCTGCCAACCTGGCAACATCCCCTTCCGCAGCCGAACAGTGGAGTTCAGAAATTATTTCCTTTTTTGGACTTTTTGTTATGGACGACATTTCTTCCTTAAAGCAAAAAAAGAAAGAAACAAGAAAAACCTTATTTGCAGTTACTTTTTGCATGAGTGGATGAACATTATTTAAGTGCTAATCTTGGAAAAACAGTACGTTTCCAAACCAATACACCTGTCAAAAGATAATTCATAGTCAACTGTTATTGCCATACAGATTTAGAAATTGTTATCAGTTGAGAATTATAATTCAATATGTGCCCAAGAGTCGGTTCACAGAATAACGAAAGAGCTCTGGTAATAGAGGTGAGGGGCTTAGGATGGTAGGAGAGCAGTAAGAACACAAAAGGGAGTGAGCATCTGCTGTGGATATAGTTCTGTAGGAGGTACAGAAGAACAGGGCAGGGGCCCGGAGGAAAGAGGGTTAAAACAGACAACGTTAGAGGCAGATGTTTCAGCAGCTGATGAGTACATCCTATCCTGTGTCATAGATGTCATCTCGCAAGGAAATTATGGCTCCACAGTTATTCAAGAGCTTTTAAAACTTCACATGAAAACAATTTACTGGTTAACCTTACATAATTAATTTTGCAATCCATATGGTACCGAGTTTTGTTCATGGTGTGAGGTAGACTAGATCAGGACTGATTTTCATGCCTGGATAATTCATGACTCAGCACTGTTCTTGAAATTATCTTTGTCTCATTGCACTGCATGGTTATCCTTGTCACAAATGAGATGACAACGCATTTCTGTATCTGTGGTTGGATACACATTTTGTTGGCCACTATAGTCCTTGAAGCAGATTTTTAAATGATTAACCTTGTCTGCCTTGGTCTTCTGTTTTGTTGTAAACAAAGCAAAGCCATGGTTCTTAATTTGTAGTTCTTAATTTGTAGTCCTGAATGGTGTTAAAAAAAATTAGCTTGAAAATCGTTCATGTTTCAACTATCTGTTAACTACAAAATATTCTTTCCTTTTTCTTAGTACTACTGCAAGTTCAACCCAGAGTCTTGTCTCCTGGATTTCGAAACAGCAATCTGTTTAGCAATAGTTAAATCTGCAGTGTAGTCTGCACAGAGTTGAGGAAAATAAATGATAAGTCAAAGATTAACTTTTTGATCTGGCATCTGCTTTCCTGCTTGTGTCTTCCATTAGTTATAAATAGTTTAAAACTGTTCAAGGGAACCCAAAAAACTTGCTTAAAATCTGTTCGCAAATGAAATCAGGTGTAACTGAGCTGGTTTATTTTACTTATTTTCCCACTTTTTCATATTGAAGTTTTAAAATACTTTAAAATATTGTAGCCACGGCAGTAATAACCCAGGACTTTATTTTGAAGCGCTGCTAAGTGTCTTCCAAACTCCCTTTCTCTTAAATCAGATCCACAAACTCCTGCTACACAGCTTTGAGAACTTCAAAGGAAGTTTACGTTGACTGCTTCACTGTTCTCTGTTCAGAGGTCGTGATTTCAGAGTTCACGGTCACTCCCTCACTGCCCTCATAGATCAGCCCGGGTGACTGCAACATTGGTCATCCAAGCATGGGTCATACACTACCATCAATGCAATACGTATGCAAAAAACATTCTCTGGACTAAGACGTGAAAAAAATAAGCCCCCTGGCTTTAGCGTCCTCAACACCAAAGTCATTTAGAAATACTGCCAGGACTCCTTCCAGGGAAGGCAGCTGCACTACCTGTAAATCACTTCTTATTGACAGGTCCTGTGGAGGGATTAAAGTCTTGCTCCTGCTTTCTAAGGCTATTCGGAGAGGACCATCTGTTTTAAAGGAACCAGATCTTAACCAAACCAATATCCATTTTTACTCATAAGTAACACGGGGCCCTAGACCTGCCCAGCATGGCTCTAGCAGGCTATAATAAAGCCTCAGAGTGGACCTGTCAATTAAGCCACCAACATCCTTTAATAAATCCCACTCGCTGGGCTGTCAAGACCAATTTAACCCATTAAGAGCAAACCCCTCAACACGGTCTTTGCATACGGCCAAATGCCTTGAACAGTTACTATTATTATTTTTTCTTCTTCTATTGTACGATTCCTTCTTTCAAGGAGAGACACATCCGAAGTCGTCTGCTTTACCCCTTAGAAAACTTGGCTGGAGATTTTAGCAGCTATGGCCCGCAGGCAGCGACAGGTCGGCGTCCCGCGCCTGCGCCCTCTAAGCCCGCGCCAGGCTGCGCCACCAGCCCGCGAGGGACGCCCAGGGACAGCCCGCCCTGGAAGGTCTCGGGGCCGACTGACGCTGCTGAGGCTACTAACCCAAGAGTGACCAGAGAAACCGCAACCGCGATGCAAGACTCCACTGGCAAAGTCAGCTCTCACAGTTCCCAGTGCTGGAGGTAACCTTCGGGACTTCCGGCGGAGGGCCACCGTCCTCGCACAGCTTTATGGGAGATGTAGTTTAAAGACCATCCACTGTGCCTGGCTGGAGATTGGGGTGGGGTCGGGGTCCGGGTGGGGACCAGGACTTGTAACTGAAGATGGGCTAATCCTTCCCTCCAGATGGAGGTGTGCAGAGGAAAGTGCTGACGATGTGATAACTAGGTCTGTGGAAATGATCTTGTTTTCCAGTAGTTCTCATCCAGCTCCCGAACTTTGCTTCCTATGATAGAGTTCACTGCCATTGAGTTTTCTATAGTGTTGTATAAAATGTTGTACAATCTGTTCACACATTAGATTAGGAGCAACCTCTACATCTGTCGATTTATTTTCATCTGATCTATCTTGTTTTCCCACTTTTTTTCATGCTGAAGTTTTCAAATACTTTAAAATACTATAACTAAACTATAATCTTTCAGGACTTTATTCTGAAGCAGTGCCAAGTGTCTTCCAACCTGCCTTTCTCTTAAGTTACTTTCCACAAACTGGACTCTGCAAAAGCCTCGGCACACATTATACGGAAGATGCCACCAGAGTCTGCCTACTTACTGTGTAGTCCTTACAAAATTATGTGTGGAGCTTCCACCATACCTCCTGGATTGTAGGTTTACATAAAACAATGCATGAAAAACTCTTGCGACCAGAGTCGACATCCACAACACAATATTGTTGCTTTTCTTAATTTAATTTCCTATGATTTCATCTTCCCAAACCTACAAAAGTTGTGTGACTCTTTGAATCGCTTGGTGTGTAGTGAGTGGTCTTCTAATCCCCAAACCAGGGAATTGTACTTGTCAATCAGCAACACCTGAGGTGTATCTTGAGCCTGAGCATCGCTTCCTCTGCTTCCCAGCCTCTTTCTCACATTAAAATTGCATATACCTGTTGACAGTACCTGTGTGATGCTTGAACTGGGACTAAACCCAGAGCCTCATGTGTGCGTGGTAAAGATTCTATTAGCGAGCTACAACCTCCGATACTTCCATGACCTGTTTTTCCCTTTGTCTTTTGCTTTCTTTCTGGGAGTAGTTGTTGTAGTGGTTTGAATAAGAATGGCTCCCACGGGCTCATACACTCGAGTCCAGTTGGTAGAACTCATTAGGAAGGATTGGGAGGTATGGCCTTGTTGGAGGACATGTGTCACTGGGAGTGGGATTTGAAGTGTCAGAAACCCATGCCATTTCCAATTAGCCCTCTCCGCCCCCACCTCTGCCTCCTCTCTGCAGAGAAGTATGTAAGCCCTCAGCTATGGCTCCATTGCCCCACCTGCCTGACTGCTGCCATGCTCTCCAGCATGATGTTCATGGACCCATCTGCAGAAACTGTCAAGTACCCCCCAATCAACTCTTTCTTCTATAAGTTGCCTTTGTCACGGTGTTTTGTCACAGCAGTAGGAAAGGAGGAAGGTGGATTATAATTACCAGACACAGTTATTAGATATTTTAGGCTTAATCTCCCTCCCTTCTCCATCATTTGTTGGTGACAGTATCTTTCTTGTAGTTCTTGCGGGAAGCCTCCTCCTCTGAGACTGCTCTGAGAGCATCAATGGCCATTCTTTAGGCTCCCTTGTGAACGCTGGTCTCAACCTCTTCACTGGATCCATGAATATTTATGGGCTTTGAAGTTACCCTAAGTGGCTGTTCCGAACCTTCAGGAAAAAACACAAAAAAACGTACCTTCACTCCAACAATTGCATGGGGAATGAGCCAGACCATTTTTCTTCACAGGTTTGCCTCTTGTCCCTTGGCAGCCAGTATCGTTCTGAAGCAGTGACATCATCCTCTGTATGGTTTAAGAAATTTAGGGTAATTAAGGCCTCGTTTAAAGAACTGGTAGGAGTAGAGAATTCTTCCCATTTTTGGCTTTTCTAATTATTGTCTGAAGCATCCATGGACTATTTCTCCACTGGTCTGTCCCTGTGGGTTGTAAGGAATTCCTGTGTCGTGAACTATTTTATGTTGGGCATGAAAGTCTTGAAATGCCCAAGAGTTAAAGCTTGAGCACTGTCTTGTCTTGAGGCTCTGTGGACGCAACAACAGTGGATGCATTGCTCAATTCTTTGCCTAGCCTCTTCTCAGGAGAAGGAAAATTCCTTGCATGGAAGAAGAGGCATTTTGATGGTACAGAGCAAGCATGGCTATTGTGAGCTTGTATTAAGGTGGACTGCATAGTGGCAGGGAAGCAGAGAGAGACCTCAAGGCCAAGGTATTGTCTTATGTATTACTGTCAGCCAGTGGTCAGGGAGACCTGAGTATAAATTAATATGACCAATGTGGTGAGTCAAGAGTTCCTGAGTCCTGTGGAAAAGATGGTATCACTGTTGATCATGGGTCCAACAAATGTAGGCTGTCTCCCAAGGCTTGCATTACTCTTACTACATAGGGGTGTCACTGTAAATATTGATGGGAGAGAAGGCAAAAATCTTCTAACACCGTGAAAACAGCAAAGAGTTCTGCTCATTAACCCAAGGTATGGGATATGCATTTTATTTTAGAACCTGGGGAAGAGTGGCAAGCAACTATGATGTTTCTAGAACCATCTGTGTAGACAGTGTTAGCTGAAGCAGAGGATTGAGATTGTGTGACTTTGGAAAATATAAGCCCATTAGTGGATGCAAAGTACAGCATGTTAGAAGATGAGAATCAAACTGGCCAGGGTAAGCCAGTGATATTTTACCTAGCATTTGTATAATGTGTTTGTGCTCCCTCGAGGCTAATTTTGACACACAGTCCTAGTAAGAGTTAAGTACCATGGAGGGGGAATGTCCCCAAATGTCTTGCTGTTGCAGATTATCTCAGTAAGGGTCCGGGCGATTTTAAGATGGCTAATGAAAGAGGCAAGGCAAGTCCCACCTCGGACTAGACTATTGGCGGTAGCCACATCCACTGCAGTTAGAGACATCCTAGCCTGGGAAGTAAGATGATGTGGAGAAAAGGGGTTGGCATCTTCTTCTAAAATTTGGAAAAAGAGAAGAACGTTCCTGGGTAGTAAGGTTAAGTGGGAGTCTGGGCCAATTAACGTCATCCACTAGTTTTTGATAATCACAAAGCATTTTGAGACATTTCTTGCAACTTTCTAGCTTTTGAGAGAACACAGTGTTCTCTCTGATTTTACATAGATATTGGAGTGAAGATGGCTTTTGACCCTTTCCTGGAGGGCTGGCTTGCAGTTTCAGAGGTTTAGTTCGTTATTGTCCTGGGGGGGAGCATGGTGGTACACATGGCACTGGAGCAGGAGCCGAGAGCTACATCTTGACCCACAGGTTGAGAGAGACAGACACTGGGTTGTTCTGTGTACCCAGCCTGCAACTGTTTCTCCACCAAAGCAGTGGCAGCAGTCAATGTACCCCACCTCCACTTCAAATCCTACTATGCCTAGCAACAAGGCCCATAGACTCTTGTAGGGATGGCTTGGGTCCCCATATTAGAGGTTGCTATAAATTGGTTGGTGGAACTGAGATTCCATCTTCCGCTGACTGATGTTGTTACCTGATAGAGCTGATGACTGGTGTTCTTGGGTGGTTGAGGGTCATCTGTCTGCCCTGTTGATTCTTGGGACTCCATTGGGTGATACCCCCTACTGTTTGGTTGGGCCAGGGCAGGCCACAGAGGCTGTTTCCCCAATTTTCCCAGAGGTTATCCACTAATATTTGTTTGTGAACAGCATTCATTATCCCAGTGGATTCCTCTCTGACAGCTCAGGCATAGGGCTGTGCAGACCATCCAGGAGATACGAGTGTTGGTTTTTTTGCGGTGCTCTTACCCTGTGAGGAAAAGTCACGAAGCATGACAGAATCCACTAACAAGAGTTTTATTAAGATAAGGGAGAGGGACAGATGTGCACAGGCCTGTGGAAAGACACGTGAGTGAAGTGGGGCCAGGAATCATGGCGCCAGCTTATAAAGGCTGGGTTGCGCCTGCGCGCACAGGCCCGTGTGGCTATTCCACACATGCGGGTAGATCACATGGTTGCACTGCGCGCTTTATGCAACCACGCAAAGCCACAGGGTCCTGGTCACATGAGACGTTTTGACCAGGAAATGGCTAGTTGGAAGTGACTAGGTCCTGCCGGGCATGCCTGACCATGCCCAACCTTAGGGGCGTGTTGTGAATCCATATCAACAAGGCCCTGCTTCTTTTTTGATTGAAATCCCTTTGGTAGCTCTTATTGGCAAAATGTCCTGTTTCTTCACATGCATAGCATGTACCACTTATTCCCCCAGGGCATACAACTTCCTTAAGGGTAGTTGAGAGAGAGCCACTGACCTTGAAGGTGGCTAGGACCTATATTGGCATACAATCTAATCATCTTTTGTACATTCAAGCAGCTATAGAAACTCCTGAGGGCCTTCTTACAAGTGTTGTTAGCATTTTCAAAAGCCAATTGTTTCATAAGCACCTTTTCGACTTCAGGGTCATTTAGAAGGAGCCCTGCATCTTGTAAGAGCTGGGCCATAAAATCTGTGTCCAAGTGTTCCAGGCCCTGGTGAATGTCAGTCAGTGACAAGGTTTTTTCCTTTTAGTGGGCAACTGTCTCCATGCCCTTAGGACAGCTATACTAATTTGTGGGTAGGCCTGTGTAATTTGTTATTTGTTGGTAGGGTAATGTTGTAATTGGTACCTAGAAGCATGTCTGGGGTTGTAGAAATTCCATGGTGTAGAAATTATGTTGCTGCCGGTCCTAACATAATGCTATAAACCCAGTTTTAAATAACAGGTAAAGGCCTGGGTTGATGTAAAAATTTTACCATGTTTAACTACTCAGAGGGGAGCCAGGGAACGTTACTGAGGACACTCTGAACAAGTCCTTGGTTAAATGGAGCAGTAGACCCAGAAAGCATACAGGACTGTTTGATCTTAAGGATTTGAAAAGCACAGTCTCATGGTGATGCAGCATTTTCCCCAGGGGATTTAGTTCAGGATGCTCAGATATGGGTAAGCTGTCCAACCACAGTGTCTTCCTCCTAATCTCTCCTAAAGGAGGCCT